AAAAAAAGCCCACTGCCCAGAGACTAGTCCATGTTCTCCATACTTTCCCATCTCCTGGTAATTAGGTGGGGTCATGTGACTTCTTTTGGCCAATGGGCTTTGAGTAGAAGGCATATGAATACATCAATATAATTGTGTGTATGTGTTGATGTAAAATGCAATGGCCTGTACATATGTTCTGCAACTTTTATTTTATTTTTGTTTATTTATTTATTTTTATTTTATATTATTTATTTTGAAGCAGAGTCTTGCTCTGTCGCCAGGCACCAGTGTGCAGTGGCCTGATCTCAGCTCACTGCAACCTCCGCTTCCCAGGTTCGAGCAATTCTCCTGCCTCAGCCTCCCAAGTAGTTGGGACTATAGGCGCACGCCACCACACCCAGATAATTTTTGTATTTTTAGTAGAGACATGGTTTCACCATGTTGGCCAGGATGGTCTTGATCTCTTGACCTTGTGATCCGCCCACCTCAGCCTCCCAAAGTGCTGGGATTACAGGCATGAGCCACTGCGCCCGACCTCTACAACTTTAAGAAAATACTTAATGTATCATGGAGACATTTGTATATTATTATAAAGAAGTTTGTCTTTTTATTTTAAACAGTTATTTCACGATACAAATACAGCATAATTTTAACTATGCCCTTCTTGTTAGATGCTTTCCATTATTTTGCAATGATAAAAACACTTCTGTGTGTTTTCTAGGAAATCTAGAAATGAAATTGCTTGGCAGAAAGGTATATACTTTTACAAATTTAAAAAATCATTCTTTTAAACATATTCCATTGAATTCAGTTGTTTTTTACCTAGGATTTTTACAATTATATTAATCAGTGAGAATGTTCTAATTCTTCTAATGTTAAATTCTTTCTCTCTTTCCTCTCTCTTCTTCACTCCTCAAGAAGGGGAAACAGTGATATAATTGGATGAGATTACAGGGTGATGATGGTGCCAAATTTATGAGCTATAAACCCTCGTGTGACCCTCTCTTTGGTACTTCGCTCTTTCTCAGGGAGAAAGGAGGACAGACAAACTGCTGGTCTCTTATTATGGACAGACCCTCTAGTTTCTCTTCCTCCTGCATAAGCAGTGTTACGCATTCAACCTCGTAGTCTTGACAAGGAGTTTATCGAAAGATCTGAGTTTAGAAGGGAGAAAGGCTCCAGACTAGTGCCCAAGTCCTGTGCCAACATAGCCAGGTCACCCTGTACTAGAGTTAGAATCACTTAAAGTAAGGAAATTCCTTATCACCTTCTGCCATTGTCTATTGCGCTACTCATCTTCAGGAACTGCAGAAGGACGATGGCCATGCCAAGGCAAGACTGAGTCAATTCCTGATATCATTCCCATAAGATTAAAATATCATCCTAAGACTATTGCCTTTGCTAGGTTTTAGTATCAATATCTATTTTGAAAAATGATTTCAATTTCCAAATGTTTGAGAGTTTTTATTTATATAAAATATTGTTGTCCAGTTCTTCTTAATTTGTTGTTGGGATATATTAGTAGCCTACAAGTCATCCAGCTCATTTTTAAAATAATGCCACATTACAAAGCCAATGGTTAACAGGAAGTGTGTGAGAGAAGGGTAATTTTTTTTTTTTTTGAGACACAGTCTCACTGTGTCACCCAGGCTGGAGTGCAACGGCGCAATGCCGGCTCACTGGAACCTCTGCCTCCTGGGTTCAAGTGTTTCTCCTGCCTCATCATCTCAAGTAGCTGGGATTATAAGCACCTACCATCATGTGCAGCTAATTTTTATATTTTTGTAGAGATGGAATTTCACCATGTTGGCCAGGCTGGTCTTGAACTCCTGACCTCAGGGATCCACCCACCTTGGCTTCCCAAAGTGCTGGGATTACAGACATGAGTCACCGTGCCCGGCCAGAGAGAGTAATTTAAAAACAGACCTGCTTAATGCCATTTAAAATTGAAATACGTTCCATTAAAAACCCATTTAAATATTTAAATACATTGAAGATTTCATTGTGTCATTAATATCCAGCGCTAAATGAACACTGTGACTGAGATGACAGAAATTTCCTTTTGGAGAAAACTGAAGCCAACAGTTGATCAACACAGCATATAGTTAACAGGGCAGGGTGTGGAGTCAGGCTGCCTAGGTTCAAATTCCAGAACCACTAGCTGAGTGGCCTTGGAGAAGTAGCTTAATATTCTGTCTCAGTTTACTTATCTAGAAAACGGAGATAATTATGATGTCTCCCTCATGGAGCTTTTCTAAGTATTAAATGACGTAACATATTTAAAGTGCTTAGAACATGGTCTGACATTCAATACATTCTAGCTATGATTAAGTGTTAATTCATTCTGGTAAAAGTGAACACTTTGCCAAGGGTAGAAAACAAGCTCTGTTCCTCATGAAATATGTTAGATTGAGAGCCGCAATCCTGCATTCACTCTTCCAAGCAACTCAGGAACATCTGAATGCTGAACTCAGGAACATCGCAGCACAGACAAACCTCTGTTTGATCTCCATCTCCCTCTGTTCCCACCCATTTCCCCCAAAGCTGTCCCTAATGGTCAAAACTCCCTTCACTGCAAGAGCTAACAAAGGTTCAGCAGGAACTGCTTCCTGATTTAGCTGCCTCACTCCCTCAATTCCTCCTTCCTCTTCAGAGGCAGTGCCTCTGTTTTAATTCCATCTCAGGTTCTTTCTCACACATATATACAATTCCCTTGAGTTAACATTCTCCATTTCCTCTGGTTCTAGTTTTTGCAGTGGGCTTAGGAAAATTGCTTTCCTTCCTTCATTTTCTTATCACCCTCCCTCCCCTGCCAAACATTCTGATCATGGCCATAAGCCCAAGCTGTGGCAGTGATAGACTTGTATGAAGAAAAGGAAAACCCATTCAACCTGAAAAGTAAACAGCACAAAGGTCAAATAACAATGAAAAGCTTGTCAAAGTTTGTACATGATTGCCAAGAGTGTGGTAACAGCAAGCAATGCTTTGAGACTGGACAGGTGGAGAGAAGTTATTAGGGCTGCAGTATCCATGGTAAGGCTTTGGGGAGAGAGAGAAGAGCTAGACCTGACCCTGAAGGGACTATGGTTCCCAAACGGTGGCAAGCTGGGTGGCCTGAGCAAAGGCATCTGCTCAGAGTCAAGGACCAGGCAGGTCTCTCTGGGATGGGGGTCTGTGTTGGAGGCAATGAGCAAGAAGTCTGAAAGTAAAATCTGAGCCCTGAATGGTAAAGTCCAGAGGTTTGACATCAAGGATGGCAGTGATTTGATCAATGTCAACTATTGAAGTTGAAGGAAAGATACAAATTATCTGTAAAAATGTAAATTCAAAATAAATGTGTCAAAAGTTCAGTATAATAGTATATCATCACTGTGCTAAAGGTTTTCTTATTTCAAATAACTCAATAAACAAAAATGAGGAAAACCATTCTGTAACTAGCTAAACTGAAGTCCATATCAACTATATAATACTTCAAAATGACCTTAAACTTCTCCTCACTTATCATTCTACAATTTAAGTAAGCAACGTTTAACATTTTCATCAGAATGTATGCTTATAGGCACATAAACATCAAAGACAGGGACAGATAGATCATCTTGGTGACTTGCGTGTATGTGGCAGGTGTCCCAGGGAAAGGAGCAGGCATGGGGTGAAGGTGGGAACAGGAGTGCCTGGCATGACCATGTGAGGCAGGGCATTTGGCCATGTGTTGCTGTGTGCTCTATCTCACCCCCGTGACCCAGGAATATTAGTGTGGCTGGGTGTGGACAGCAAGGATTAATACGTCATTGTCAAACGTGGGTGAAGCTGGTGTACTACTCCCTTCTGAACAGTCTTCAGTACTATCAAGCTTTTGTTTGTTTCTTGGTGGTGTGGATGGAAGGTTTCATTTGCAGGGCCAAACACATGATCTGATAACTTCCAGGAATGATTCGTGATATGGAATCATATCTTTCAGTACTTTTAAAATGATAGAGGCATTAAAAGAATGCAGGGGATATAAATCCCGGTGGATGAAGCAGACTTTTATTTTGGGGACAGAATTACTCAGTTCTAACATTAACTATGTTTTATTAGATCTTTGACTGAAAAACTTGCAAATGATCTTGTCAGTTCTTCAATTTTAAAATCTAAAATCATTCAGTATCCCAATGCCCTAAAAATAACACTTAGTGTGGGATCTTTTATTAAGATTTTTAAAGATGCTTTTCATAAGCAAAATTTAATTTCCTAGTGACTGGAGAAAAACGAATATATTTAGAGGCTTTTGCTTACTTAATAAGGTAACAGGGAAACAAAGGTTAAAAACAAAGCTGAATGGAGAAAATAATGCCTATAGGAAGAGTCATGTCGACACGTAAGTATATTCCTGGCAGCTGCAGCCCCTGCCTCCACAAGTGCAAAATTGCAGCTAGCTATCCCTCTCTCTCGTTTGCCTCAGCTCCGCCCACGTCCAATGTCTGAGCTACAACGAACTGCCCCACCTCTTTTAAAGCTTCTTTCCCTGAACTGCGCGAGGCAGAGAGCATTGCCTCCCAGTGCTGAGGTGAAAATTAAAACTACGCAGGGGTCCATGCTCTGCACCTTGAAAAGTATGAACAGAAGTTCGTTTGTAGTGTTCCCTGCAGTCTCCTGGCTTCTCTTCTGCCTCTGCCTCCTTTCTCCTTCATCTACTAGCACCCTGGCTTTCTACTCCGGCTCATCGGTGTATTTATTTGTTAATTCACTCATTCATATTCTCTGCTGTTTTTAATTTTCCCACTGACAGTAGGCGCAGGGGGCAAGGCCATCCGCTCTGTCTCTCTAGCGTGGCCTCTACTTGGAGGTCGGGAGCGAAGGTCGTCCCGGCCAGGGTGGTCCTGGACCCCAGCTTTCCGTACCTGACTCACGGACGACCTCAGCGCCCCGCCTCCTCGGCCCGGCGTTCCCCAGCCAGCACCCCCAACTGAGGGCGCTGTGGGCGGGGCCGGCTTTGTGGGCGGGGCCGGCTCGGGAGGTGCGCTGTGATTGGCCGTGTCCAGGAAACCGCGGAGACGCCGTCGTCAACCAGCCGCGCTGCGAAACAAAGGCGCGGGTCACAGAGACCTCGAACTGCTGGAATCCTTCGCCCCCGGCCGGCAACCTTCGCCCGCCGGAATCGCTGCCTTATCCACCAGCGGGATGCTTACCTTGCCCGCCCTCTCGGGTCAGGCGGGCCCGGGAGGATGGGAGGGTAGTTCCTGAGCGGGAGCCGCCTGGTCTTCTACCCGACATATTGCCTAGTAAGTGTGGGAGCGATCCCTGCCGCGCCAGAGCCGCCGAGGTGCCCCGCCTTCCAACAAGCCGCCTAGGAAAGTGTTGGAAGGATGCCATCTCCGAACTGGACTACATGCCCACTTTACAGACGCAGAAACAGTACCAGGAAGGCTCGGTGACTTGCTCTGGCACACTTAACCGTCCGCTAACCGGGTCAAGTCTAGGGTCAAGGTATTGACTTCTACTCTAGAGCTCTTTCCATCGCACCTCACCCCAGCCCACGCCCAGCTGCTTTGGTGGAGAAGCGGGTTTCCTAGTTTCTGTCTATGCCATAGGCCAGCAGTTTAAGATGAAGAAGTCCACCTGGGCTTTGGAGGGAACACAGGAACCAGAAGAAACACATTTTCTGTACATAATGATAAATATGTATAGCCTAAAAGCCAAAGCTATCTGCTTGCAATAAAGCTCCCCACAACTTTCTGTCCTGGAAAGGCCTCTGGCTCCCTCCTATTCCACACTTACATGGTTTCACAATCACATCACTATCTCTCACCCTTCTTTTATGGGAATAACACTTAATAGGTCGGTTTAGTTTCTATTTGGCAGAGCTTTCCCTTTCATTTTATTGGATGCTCCCCCTTTATTCTCGGCAATGACCTTTTCCCCCCAAAGCACTCCAAGTAGTCTCGAATTTCTCTTCTTGACTATTTTCTCAACCGTAGGACAGTCCATTTCAATATCCTTGTCTCTGTCCACATTGTTTGAGCCAATGATCACAACCAAGCCTTGTCTCTTAAGGGCAGAAAAAAATGGGGGGAGATTTAAGGTTTTCTGGGGAACAGTTGCATCAGGATGCATCATGAAGCTTTGTCCCAGTTTCCTTTCTTCCTGGAACAATCATCGTTCACAAATTCACTTAAATCACAAGAGATATCCATCTTGCCCAGACTTCTTTTTCAGAAACTAACAGGGATATAGGAAATTTAAGGTGTTGATAATAAAGTAGCTAGAAGCTTACTGAATGTCTAAACTGGATTAATGGACTCTAAACCCAGCACTGTCCCTGAACCTCCGAGCACGTACGACCTTTTCTTTAAGGGCATGACGACTTCACAAGACTGTAGCCCAGGGCAGCCCGGGAGCAAACGCTTCAGGTAGCTGAGGCCCTGGGACTGTTACCAGCTTAACCTTTCTATTTTCCCCAAAGTTTTTCCTGCTCATATCTTCAGCTTAGACTTTCACTTCCTTGTTTTTCCTTTTACGCTTCCTTCTTCTTCTAAGGAAACACTTTCCTATTTCCTCAAACTCTGTATGGTTCTTGGAATGGCCTTTAAAACTTAAGGCAATGCTGGCCCGGCCTGGTGGCTCACGTCTGTAATCTCAGCACTTTGGGAGGCCAAGGCAGGAGGATCACCTGAGGTCAGGAGTTCGAGAACAGCCTGGCCAACATGGTGAACCCCATCTCTACTAAAAATACAAATATTAGCTGAGCGTTGTGGCGCATGCCTGTGATCCCAGCTACTTGGGAGGCTGAGGCAGGAGAATTGCTTGAACCTGTGAGGTGGAGAGTGCAGTGAGCCAAGATCACGCCATTGCACTCCAGCCTGGGCAACAACAGAGTGAGATTCTGCATCAAAAAAAAAAAAAAAGAAACAAAAAAAAAAAACTGAGGGTGCCGGGTGTGGTGGCTCACCCCTGTAATCCCAGCACTTTGAGAGGCCGAGGCAGGTGGATCATGAGGTCAAGAGATCAAGACCATCCTGGCCAACATGGTGAAACCCCGTCTCTACTAAAAATATAAAAATTAGCTGGGCGTGATGGCACGCACCTGTAGTCCCAGCTACTTGGGAGGCTGAGGCAGGAGAATTGCTTGAACCTGGGAGGCAGAGGTTGAAGTGAGCCGAGATCGTGCCACTGCGCTCCAGCCTGGTGCCCGATGACAGAGCGAGACTGTCTCAAAAAAAGAAAAAAAAAAAAAAAGCTTAGGGCAGTGTTCAATTTGGGTATGTTGTTATGTTGTTTCCAACTTCCGGGTTCCTTGGTTCCCTAATTTATAATAACCTCAGCTGAGGAAACTCTGAATAACAGTAAATAAGTAAATAAATAAATAACATCGTTTTATCCAGAAAATAATATATCACCTTTATTTTTTTCTGAGATAGCATCTCAATCTGTGGCCCAGGTTGGAGTGCAGTGGCATGATCTTGGCTCATGGCAACCTCCGCCTCCTGGATTCAAGCAATTCTCTTGCCTCAGCCTCGTGAGTAGCTGGGATTACAGGCACGTGCCACCATGCTCAGCTAATTTTGTATTTTTTAGTAGAGATGGGGTTTCTCCACTTTGGTCAGGCTGGTCTTGAATTCCGACCTCAGGTGATCCGCCCGCTTCGACCTCCCAAAGTGCTGGGATTACAGGCGTGAGTGGAACCATCTTTAAGTCTAGCTAGGACAAGCTTGAAGTGCCCAAGACCTTAGTGATGATATATCAAAGCAAAAGTTAGGGTTTTCCCAGGGAGGGGCTGCAGAAGGTTGCTAAGGAGTTCTGGGGAGGCTTAATGGTGGAGGCAGCATTTGAAATAAGCCTTGCAGGCTAGGAGTCCGAACAGGAGAGCCATCTGGGACCAGCATGGAGGTGGGAAAGCAGGTGAGCTACTGGGGTGTTTCAGTGGGGAGAAGGGGGTTACTTTGTTAGGTCCCTGCTCTCAGCAGGCTTCCTTGCTCTGACAGAATAGTTCCTATCCCACTTGAGTGGAACAATTCCTTCTTTGGGAGACAGCTTTTCTCCCTTTCCCCCTTTACTTCCTTTTTTTTTTTTTTTCCCCCCTGGTTGCTTTCATTTCAGACGATACAAATATTCTCAGGCTACAAAACCCTGGAGGTAAGATCTGAATCAGACTGAACCATTCAGGTTCTTAGATCCAGTAGAGCCAATTCCCACTCCCCCACCCCCACTTTTTAAAATTAATTTTTAAAAAAGACATGAGTGCAAAAGGGACTGGAGCATGCACCTTAGCAATGCTGGAGAATTTTTGATTTTCTTTTGTTTGAGATCAAAAACGTGTCCCTTTAGCTTAAAAACAACACCTGTGACTATTCTGAACTCCTCCGTAAGCTTCCAAAATCTACTTTACAAAATCTTATTAGGGCAGTTTATGTAAAAGTGCTCCCTTTTAAACCTAGTACTCCCTTCAGCAAGAATATTGTAGGAGGTGTTTCAGGGAAGAGCAAAATTACTGAAATGATGAAATAGTTAAAAAAAAATTTCTTCTGAGCTTCCCTTTCTGGTTTCTTGGAACAACCGACCAAATTTAAAAGATTTTCAGCCAGTCTTTGTGGACAGATCCTCAAAAGAAAGTTGAAGCATTATTAGTCTGCCCTTGTTTTCATGTTCTGTGATTCTAAACTTTCTAGCTCAGTATGATTGGAGGCTTGTGGATAAAAAAGTGCTTGGGATGAAAGTGGGTCTATGAAAGAAAATACAATGACTAAGGAACCATGACTTTTAGATCATTTATTTGTACATAGCTGTTTCCTATATATAAAATGCTTATCTACGCATAACTCGTACATCAGCACAGCTGTTCCTTGAATAGCCATGGCAGTTAGGGTGTGCAGGTGGTATCACTATCCTAGAGAAGTGGAATCACCTTAATGTGGCAGAATGGGTTTATACTGAGTTTTGATTCTAAACTTTTCCACTCCTACGTGATGCTCTCCAAATAATATTGTAACATTCTCATCAAATTGAGCCTTTGTAGAAAGAAGGCCAGATCTTCACCAATAATAGTAATTTATATACCTTTATAATTCAACATATGTGGACAATACAAATTCACATAAACCTTGAAATGGAAATTATCTTAATTTTTTTAAGACAAGGTCTCACTCTGTTGCCCAGGCTGGAGTGCAGTGGTGCGATTAGAGCTCACTGCAACCTTGAACTCCTGGGCTCAAGCAGTCTTCCTGCTTCAGCCTCTTGAGTAGCTGGGACTACAGTGGCACCACACCTGGCTAATTAAAAAAAGCAATTAGTAGAGATGAGTTCTCCACTATGTTGCTCGGGGGAGTCTTGAACCCCTGGACTCAAGTGGTCTTCCCAACGTGCTGAGATTACAGGCACGAGCCACTGCACCCAGCCTCATTATCTTTAAAAGCTTGAGAGTGATAAGCCAAGAAGCTTATTGAGTCTGAGCTTTGAGAATAAAGATGAGCATTCTGATGAGGACCTGGGGCCCTACGAGAATGCAGTCCTACTGGAAAGCAGATTGGCTTGTGCTGTAAGACCTGGCTGGAGGAGGTTAATTGTAAGGATAGCAGAGTGGTTGGTTAAGAAGTGACTTTGACTCCTGCTTTTCTCACTTACTGGCTGTGGCAGAACCTGTGAGCAAGTTCTTTAAATCCTCAAAGCTTCCGATTCTTCAAATATAAGTGGTGTTAATAATGAGTAACTGATATGGTTATGAAGAAGCTGTGAGCTAGAGCGTATAAAAGGTCCAACAAATGGAGGTTGCTGCATTGCTTCTATTACACTAAAGATCACAAAACGCAGATCCTGAAGCTGAATGGCCTGCTTTAGAATCTCAACTCCAGAACTAACTAGTTGTGAGATTGTGGACAAGTTAATTAACCCCTCTCTGTATCGGTTTCCTCATCTGTAAAATGAAACTAAAAGGAGTACCTGCCTCCTAAGGTTATTATAAGGATTAAATGTAAATTGCACATAACTTGATGTTAAATAAGTGCTTGCTAATGATACTTCTAACTTCTTTGTATAAAACCTCCCCGACTTGGTCCAACTGAATTTTGTGTTTGACTGAATTTTCATGTCATGACAGTGAAACTTTTAGGAAATACAGTTGAAGTTTTAGAAATAGGGCAAGAACATGTTTTCATTGTTAAAAGTTTTACAATTCAGGGTATCAGTTTACATGCATTGAGAACTCTGGATATGGAAGTAAGCAGAACTTTCTACACTTCCTCCAGGTCACCTGCCCAGTTGTGGTGAGCGGGTTAAGATTGCATTATAGTTTCGCTCCATGCTTTCCTCTTGCATACACTAGCTATATTTAGGCAGGTCTAGATAAGCTTAATATGTTGCATATGGCCTTGGGTCCAGCTGATCCCAGAACAGATGGCTACATGGGCCACAATGCTTAAGTCCAATTGTAGAGCAAAGTCCCAGATAATAAAACATTGAGAAAGTGGATACATGTATTCCAGCTGGGCTGAGCTGTGCTCTGGTTCCCAGCTGCCACCAGCTCCCAATTAACCACTACACCTGTTCGACAGGTAAAACCTGTCAGGGTTTTATCCTTCTCATCCTCATTGGGAGCAATGAGGTGTGATTGTAATTGGACTATAGATGTGTGGTGAAGGTTCTGGGGTGTTTATTTTTTTCCAAAATGGAAAAGCTTTGTAGTTTTCTGATTATGGAAATAAATCCTGGCTGGGTGTGGTAGCTCATGCCTGCAATCCCAGCATTTTGGGAGGCCAAGGTGGGCGGATCACGAGGGCAGGAGTTCAAGACCAGCCTGACCAACCTGGTGAAACCCTGTCTCTACTAAAAATACGAAAAATTAGCCAGGCATGGTGGCACACTTCTGTAATCCCAGCCACTCATGAGGCTGAGGCAGGAGAATCACTTGAACCTGGGAGGCAGAGGTTGCCATGAGCCAAGATCATGCCACTGTACTTACCCCTGGGTAACAGAGCAAGACTCTGTCTCAAGAAAAAAAAAGTAAATCCCATTTTAGAAATATTCAAGTAATGCAAAAATTTCAACAATATAAATTTCAACAATACAGAAAAAACTACTCTAAACCTGTTGTGGTATATCTTTCTAGATATTTTCATGTGTATATATACATTTGAATACTGAACTTTATGGATACCTCTTAGCAATTCATGTGACTATTATCTTTTCTACCAAATATCCATCTATAATTTTAACTGATAAATATAATTCCATTTTATGAGTGTACTGTAATTTATGTTAAGCCAATCCTCTGTTGGCGTTAGATTATTTCCAAGTTTTCAGGAAATCTGAGTTTACAATTGCCTTTACAGGAGTTTACTGTGACTTAGATCTTGATCCAGAGATGGAGAAATCAGGCTCATCTTCTACCATCTCTAAGCAGCAGCTGCAGAGGAAAGAGGGATGGAGTAACACCAAAACGGACTTGGCTGAGCAGAGGCTCATTTCATCTGAGACATGGCTTCAACTGCATGGGCTTAAGAGCAACAAATTGACCTTGAAACAGATTTTGTCACAGATTGGATTCCCACATTGTGAAGGTACAGTACTCACAAATAACCAGCATGCTGCCATTTAGCCTTTGAGGTGGCTGCCTCAGTTTTGAAGGCCCCTCAAAAACCACAGGTCTCTGAGCTTGCTTTGATCTTACATCCCTATCAGTAGAAAATGCACGTATGCCCCCAATATATGTGTATTATGTAGACATGCAATTGTCAGTCCATGTATTAAATAATGCTTAATTTCATCCTTTCATTTTTACTTTTAAAATGGACAGATGAAACTGTATGTATTTATCATGCACAGCATGATGCTTTGAAGAATATATATGTAAATGGCTGTATCTAGCTAATTAACAAATGGACTGCCTCATATCGTCATTTTTTGTGGTGAGAACACTTAGTCTGTGTTTTTCAAGAATGCAATCTATCATCATTAACTATGATCACCATACTATACAATAGATCTCTTGAATGATCTCTTGAATAAATGTCCTAGATGTAATGATATATCCTTTGACTAATATCTACCCAACTTCCACCGCCACAACCACCCCAGCCTCTGATAAGCATTTCGATGAGATAAACTTAAAAATTCCACATGAGTGAGATTATGTGGTGTTTGTCTTTCTGTGCCTTGGTTATTTTATTTAATATAATGCCCTTCAGGTTCATTCATATAGCAAATGACAGGATTTCTTTCCCTTTTATGGCTGAATAATATTTAATTGTGTATATGTACTATGTTTTCTTTATCTAGTCATCTATTGTTGGGCACTTAGGTTGATTTAGTATCTTGGTTATTGTAAATGGTGCTGCACTAAACAAGAGAGTGCAGATATCTCTTCAATGTATTGATTTTATTTCTTTTGGATATATATACAGTAGTGGGATTGCTGGATCAGAACCTCCATACTGCGTTCCATAATAGCCATACTAATTTACATTCCCATCAATGTTGTGTATGGATATCCTTTTCTCCATATCCTTGCCAGCATTTATCTTTCTGATATTAACCATTCTGACAGGAGCAAAATGATATCTCATTGTGGCTTTGATTTGCATTTCCCTGATAATCAGTGATAGTGAGCATTTTTTCATATACCTGTTAGCCATTTTATATGTTTTATTTTGAGAAATGTCTATTCAGGGCTTTTGCCCATTTAAAAATCAGGTTTTTTGTTTCTGTTGAGTGGTTTGAGTTCCTTTAATATTTTGCATGTTAACCTCTTATCAGATCTGTAGTTTGCAAATATTTTCTTCCATTCTGTAAGTTGTGTCTTTACTCTTTTGATTTTTTTTTCCTTTGCTGTAGAGAAGCTTTTTAGTTTGATGTAATCTCATTTGTTTATTTTTGCTTTTGTTGCCTGTACTTTTGAGGTCAGATACAAAAAAATCATTGCCCAGATCAGTGTCATGGATCTTTTCCCTTTTTCTTCCAGTAGTTTCATATTTTCGGGTGCTACAATTAAGTCTGTAATTCATTTAGAGTTGATTTTTGTTTATGGTGGAGATAAGGGTCTAATTTTATTATTCTGCCCATGGTTATATAGTTTTCTCAATCCCTTGTTTTGAAGAGATTTTCCTTTCCCCATTGTGTGTTTTTGTCAAAAATCTGTTGAATGTAAATATATGTATTTATTTTTGACTCCCTATTCTATTCCATTGATCTATGTATCTGTTTTTATGCCAGTGTCATGCTGTTTTGATTACTATAGTTTTGTAGTATATTTTGAAGCCAGGTAGTATGATGCCTTCAGGTTTGTTCTTTTTGCTCAAGATTGCTTTGGATATTCTGGCTTTCTTTGTGGTTCTATACAAATGTAAGGATTGTTTTTTCTATTTCTGTGAAGAATGTTATTGGTATTTTGATAGGGGTTACATTACATCTGTAGAGCACTTTGGGTAGTATGGACATTTTCAACAGTATTCATCTTTCCAATCCATGAACAAGGGATATCTTTAAATTTGTGTTTTATTCAATTTCTTTCAGCTATGTTTTATAGTTTTCCTTGAAGATATATTTCACCTCCTTAGTTAAATTTATTCCTAGGTACTTTATTTATTTGTTTTTGGTAACTATAGTAAATGAAATGGTTTTCTTTTTGTCTTTTTTGGATAATTTGCTGTTAGTATGTATATCACTGCTGATTTTTGTTGTTAATTTTGTAGTCTGCAACTTTACTGAATTTGCCAATTAATTCTAACAGGTTTTTAGTGGAGTCTTAGGATTTTCCCTGTATAAGATTGTGTCGTCTGCTAATAGGGACGATTTTACTTCTTCCTTTCCAATTTAGATGCTTTTAATTTCTTTCTGCTGCCTGATTGTTTTGGCTAGAACCTCTAGTACTGTAGCAAATAGAAGTGGTGAAAGTGGGCATCCTTTTCTTCTTCCAGATGTTAGAGGAAAATCTTTCAACTTTCCTGTCGTTCAGTATGTTAGCTGTGGGTTTGTCATATATGGCCTTTAATGTATTGAGGCACATTTCTTCTATACATAATTTGTTGAGAGTTTTTATTATGAAAAGATATTAAGTTTTATCAAATGTTTATTCTGTATCTATTGAAATGATCATATCATTTTTTGTTCTTCATTCTGTTTATATGGTGCATCACATTTACTGATTTGCATATGTTGAACCATCCTTGCATTTCTGGGATGAAACCCATTGATGATGGTGAATGATCTTTTTAATGTGTCATTGAATTTGGTTTGCTAATATGCTGCTGAACATTTTTGCATTTATGTTCATCAGGGGTATTGGCCTGTAAGTTTTTTTCTTTTGTTGTGACCTTGCATGGTTTTGACACTGGGGTAATGTCGCCTCAGAGAATGGGTTTGGAAATATTCTCTCCTCTTCAATATTTTGGGAAGAATTTGAGAAGAATTGGTGTTAGTTCTCTGTTAAATGTTTGGTAGAATTCAGCAATGAAGTCATTAGGTCCTGGGCTTTTCTTTGCTGGGAGAGTTTTTTTTTTTTTGAGACAGAGTCTTACTCTGTCACCCAGGATGGAGTGCAATGGGGTGATCTCAGCTCACTGCAACTTCTGCCTTCCAGGTTCAAGTAATTCTCCTGCCTCAGCCTCCTGAGTAGCTGGGACTACAGATGTGTGCCACCATGCCTTGCTAATTTTTGTATTTTTGTTAGAGAAGATTTCACCATGTTGGCTAGACAGGTCTCAAACTCCTAATCTCAGGTGATCCACCTGCCTTGGCTTCCCAAAGTGCTGGGATTACAGGCATGAACCACTGCGCACAGCCGGGAGATTTTTTATTACTGATTCCATCTTCTTACTCATTATTGGTTTGTTCAGATTTTGGATTTCTTCATAATTCAACCTTGGTAAAATGTATGTGTCCAGGAATTTATTCATTTCTATTAGGTTATCTAATTTGTTAAGGTAGAGTTGTTCACAGCAGTCTCTTATGATTCTTGGTATTTCTGTGGCATCAGTTGTAATTTCTCCTTTTTTATCTATGATTTTATTTGAGTCTTCTCTCTTCTTTTCTTAGTCTAGCTATAGGTTTGTCTATTTTGTTTATCATTTCAAGGGACTAACTTTGCTTTATTGATATTTTTATGTATTTGTATTCTCTGTTTCTGCTCTGATATCTATTATTTCTTCCTTCTACTAGTTTATGTTGTTATGTTATGTTGTTTGTTTTGTTGCACTTCCTTGAGGTGCAACATTAGGTTGTTTGAGAGAGAGATTTTTTGAGGTAGATGTTTAATTGCTATAAACTTTCCTCTTAGACTGCTTTTGCTCTATCCCATCAGTTTTGTTTTGTTGTGAGACGAATATTTATTCATCTCAATAAATATTTTAATTTAATTTGATTAATAAATTTCTTTACTTCAATAGATTTGGGGATTCAAGTGGTTTTTGGTTATATGGATGAATTGTAGAGTGGTGAAGTCGGAGATTTCAGTACACCTATAATCCAAGTAGTGCACATTGTACCCAACATGTAGTTTTTTATTCCTCACCTGACCTTGCCAAATTCTGAATATCCAAATTCCAGTATACTACTCCCTTTGTATACTTTGCATACCCATCGCTTAGCTCTCACTTATAAGTAGAACATATGGTATTTGGTTTTCCATTCCTGAGTTGCTACACTTAGAATAATGGCGTGCAGCTCCATCCAAGTTGTTGCAAAACAGATTATTTTATTCTTTTTTATAGCTGAGTAATATTCTATGGTGTGTATATGCCACATTTTCTTTATCCACTCATTGGTTGATGGGCACTTAGATTGGCTCTATATCTTTGCAATTGTGAATTATGCTGTGAGAAATACATGTGTAGGTGTCCTTTAAAGATAATGACATCTTTTCCTTTGGGTAGATACTCACCAGTTCAGTAGTGGGATTGATGGATAAAATGTAGATAAAGGTCTACATTTTGTTCTTTAACAAATCTCCATACTGTTTTCCACAGAGGTGGTACTATTTTACATTCCCATGTATCAGCATTCTTTTTTAATCCCTCCCTTCTTTCCTTTCTTTTCTTTTCTTTTGTTCTTTTTTCTTTTCCTTCCTTCCTCTTTCTTTCTCTCTTTCTTTTTCTCTTTCTCTCGTTCTTTCCTTCCTTTCTTTTTTCTTTCCTTCCTTTCTTATCACATTTATGCCAACATCTATTTTTTTTTACTTTCTATTAATGGTCATTCTGGCTGGGGTAAGGTGGTGTACCATCATGGGTTTAATTTGCATTTCCCCAGCGATTAGTGATGTTGAACGCTTTTTCATAGTTTGTTGGCCATTTGTATATCTTCCTTTAGAAATATCTATTCACATCATTTGCCCATGAAATATTTTACCTTTTAATTTATTCATAGACCTTTTGGTTGTTTAGGTGCATGTTGTTTAATTTCAATGTATTTGTTAATTTTCCAAAGTTCTTCCTGGTGCTGATTTCCAGTTTTATACCATTGTGGTCTGAAAAGATACTTGATATGATTTCTGTCTTCTCAAATTTGGTAAGACTTGTTTTGTGACCTAACATATGAGCTATTCTAGATAATGTTATGTGTGCAGTTG